CGACCCACCCCTCGTTGACCCACCTTCCTTGGGCGTAGGGCCCCCGGGGGCTGCCAGGACTCACCACCGGATTTCCACCAGTCTTTCAACCTGTCCCCGCGGGCTGCTGGCGACACAGACCCTGCTCCTGCAGCCAGACTTCCGCGCTGCGGGCGGCGCTGGCACCACTCGCTTTACCCGTGACCCCTGCGCACGCCCCGAGCGCCCAGGGATGGCCTTTACCCGCCAGGGCCTTTACAAGCGGTTAAATGAGTTCCCAGGCTTTGTGAGCATGACCCAGCCTCTCGGCCTGTGCTCAGGGTCCCTGCTCAGTCTACAATCAATAAAACCAGAAGCGGGTAGAGAAGCCGGTGTGGGAGGAATGGATCCGGGGTTCTCTCTGATCCATCCACGCTAGAAAAACCAGAACCACCGGTATGAGGCCGTGATGTAAAAAACTTCTCAGACCTGGTACCTGCTCAAGCCAGGGCCTGGGCCTGCTTTCCAGGACGCCACCAGAGCGTCCCTGCCCCAGGGCAAGAGCCTCAGGCCAGGGTGGGGAAGCCCAAAAAGGGGAGGACATTTCCGATCCCCCTGCTAGGTTTCTGCAAAAGGCGCAACTGGTGTAATCTCTGCAGACTGCCTATCCTCACCCCACCTCCCCACCCACGCCCTTCCAAGACACAAAAAGCAAATAAAAAGACTCCAAGTCTCCTCGGCGTCTCCGGGCGGAAGGAGGGGAGGACTGGGGCTGCTGTGGGGAATAGCAGCTGACCGGCCCAAGAACTCTCCAGCCCCCACAAGCTCGCAGGGTCAAACCTGCCTGTAACACACAAATGGGCAATTACATCTTGCTTCCCTCTGCTGAAGTGTTTCAGCTCCTCCACCCCGGAGGAAGAAGGTACCTGTGTATCCCCCACAGGCGCTCCAAATTACAGACCAGAGCTTCCTACCTCACCGCCTCCAGGGCAGGCCCAGGCGGTGTACCTGGGGGACTTTTCTGGCTCTGCTGGTTCCCAGCTTTGTACCGTTTTCTCTCACTCACGCCTGGGTCTGTCTCTAACTGGAGAAGCCTAGAGCTATCTTGCAGGGAGTCCTGAGGGGAACTGAGGAAAGAACCCCTCGGGTGAGCAGGGTCTGGGGCGCACGGGGTCTGGAGATTAAGTGGGGTGAATCCATTGGACTGGCTTCCCACGATGAAATCACTACAGCGGGGCTTTGACGAAGAGACTCGAGAGAGTTCTCTCTCCCTCCATCATCCTCTGAGTCCCCCCCGCCTCGCCTGGTCTTGCCTCCCGGTTTCCATGACAACTCCAAGGGAGCCTAAACCGGGGGCTTGAATGCCAGGGTGAGAGGAGGAAAGAGGTGGTCCTAGCGCAGAGGGAGAACGATTCGGGGGGGACTTCTGGAGCGCTCCCCCTCCCTGGCCCCGGTCCCTTTAAGCTCCCCCCCTTGCCACTCTCTCTCTCTCTGCCCGCCCCCCCACACACACTGTCTTCATCTCACTTTGTCTGCGCTGC